AATTAAGCGCATCGTAAATTGCGCCGCGTAATTTACTTAATCCTCTTTCAGTCGATGGTGATTTAATCGATTGATTCGCGTAAATAAACCGTATCGCGTTAAAACGAGGTAATTAATTGGAGATTAATCATCGACCACGTTCCAATCTCGCTCGGTGTGTTTCGCCGGATCATTACAGAGTAATGCGCAATCTCGCAGTATGTAGCTTTCGAAAGATTATAATAACAAACTCGTTTGAAATATTGCCGGCATAGCAAACGATCGTGGATTTCTCCCAAGGAGGTTAATGGAAGTCGCGAGGAGTCAGTTTTTCTCCAAGTTTCACTATTTACTCGCGCAAACCAGACGACTCTGTGACGACGCTGCGATTTCAATTTTCCGTGCGGCGAAAGGCTCGACACACTACCAGTCGAAATTGAGAGTCAATCCTGAGTGATTGCTCGTTGAAAGTGAGAGCTTCCTTGGACACATACGTATCGATAAATTATTTCGAGTTGCGATAAGTAAGTTGTTACGTGGTTAAAACGATTCCGAGTAGAAGTCGTTTTTAAAATTGAGAAATCAATCTCTCCACTACTTATCCTATAGAACCCGCACAGCAATAGAAAATGATTTTGCATTGTCTGATGAGATAATTAATCGTAATAAATAAGATAAAATGCGAATTATTGCACAGTGGTGTCAACCGATTAATTAAGAAGAGTGAACGACGTGTTAATTTATGTAGAAACCGAGTCGAAATTTTAATCCTACTTTCAGCCTCACTATTCCATTCAACGCCTATTTTGATATTCTGTAGCCTATTTTAACAGTAAGTAAAGAAAGTGAAATTTCGGACATTATTAGAGTCAAAGTAGGAATAAATTGTATCATTAGAATTAAATCTACTTTGTTAACTTATGCTCCCATTGCATTATAGGATTCTAGGTTTAACATATGGCTAAAATTTTGACTCGGAAAATTAACGTAATTTTGTGGTCTATTTCCGTGGTGTTATCACGATGTACGGCGAGTTATCACGTATACACATTCGGTATGTAAATGTTGACGAAGGGTGGGATAAGAAATTGCCCGAGAGGCTATGATATAACCAGTCAAGTTAAGGAGCCTTTGGACCGACATACGGGCCGCAATCTGGGCTCACAAAGCAATAAGCCACTGTGGGACCTTTTGTTTATTTTGTCACGTAGCCTCTTTTATAGCCTGACTCTTTTTAGCGTCACTCTCCCTCGAACTTAATTTCCTAATTTGCTTACTTTAGTTTGTACTTGAATGAACTAAAATATGAAAAAAATTATTTCATTTCTGCACAACACTTTCGTAACTTGTTTGCGGAACTCGATGTTCACGCTTCCTCAACATTGTTATCGCATCGAGACCTGAATCCTTCTTCTAGTTGTGTCTTATCTGATATCCCCAATGATATCTCCATTTTACTCTTACATTATCTTTTCAACAATAATGTTGACAAGGGAGAGAGAGCAAGTGCACGTATTGACGTTCCGTATTGACGCACCAAAGTGTTAAATAAATCGCGGAGGCGTTTATCGCTGATCAGTCGGGAGTCTATTTTCGAGGTGGAAATCCTTAGCGCCGTGTGTTGCTTTATCACCGTGAAACCGCAACTATGCGGACAGCTTCGCGGATCACAATGCTTTATAATTAATAAATCACGGCGTGACTGAACTTTTATCGCGGTCCCGACCACCACGGAGAACGGTTATGGATGTCGCACTTTACAATGGCATTCGACAGGTAATCGCTATGACTGGTTCTTTGTTAGCAAGCTCGAGACGCTTGATCGTTCGACAAGATGAGCCCGCATAATGGTGCAAATTCGACGATGTCTCGTAAAAACGGAAAATGGAAAACCGCGTCTTACGATTACAATTTTCCCACGCTCACGTATTCACATATGTTGTGTTGTATTTCTTGCTACTAAAGCAATTTTCAAATTTTCTTTATATTTAATTGCGAGTTTCACAAAAGTAATAGAAATATTTCTAAAATGAAATATTTATTAAGTTTAATATGATATAATCAGTTTTCTAACATTTATACATACACCTTACAAGATGAGATATTTGAGGTTATAATTTTCTAATATTTTATACATATATATATATATATATACATACACATATATATGTATGTGTGTGTACACACATACACACACACACACACACACACACACACACACACATACACACATAAATACATGGTGTTTTATTTTAATTGCATATATCTCAACTATCTTAAAAACAAAATATTATAGAAAAAAAATTAAACAAAAATGGTATAGTTTTAAGGGGATAGATCCTATAATACAAATCAGTTCTTCTGATTATTCTATGTATAAAAATGTTGGCATAAAATCATCGAAGAGTAAATACTTGGCGAAATATTTTTCGTTTTATTTTAATATTTTTTTTAACACAAGATATGAAATATATCGTAAAATATACACTTTTCGATAACCTCACCATTTTGTACGTAATATGACGAATGGCATTTTAAACAAGATTTCCTCTTGCAAATTTATTGATGCATCAGTATGCGAAACAAAATATATCTAACTCACTCTAACCTATTGCACATCAGTTAGAGAAGTTCAAAAACAAGCCTAATATCATCGATCGATTTGTTTGTTTTGTCTTGCTTTTGAGATATTTGAGGTATGTAATTAAAATGCACCCTGTACACATATATATCTTCGTGTAACTTTTCTGTTTGTGCACTCTGAGATTTTATCAAAAACTCGGCTTGCACAAGAGACGCTGTTTTGCGCGCGATCTGTGTGTACAGAATTCCGAAAGTTTTTAAATTTACTTAGTAACTGCACTTCGTTACATCGTAATTAAAAAAAGATCAATGCCGTTCGAGGGTGTAGACAGATCACGCACACATCTCACCAGACGGATCATTACGCCAGACGGAAAATAAATAAATGCCTCGAGCGTTCCTCGAATTATCGCGAGCCGCATATTTATTTAGCGGTCGCTCTTAGACTGAAGAGTGTAATCACGCTGAATTCGCTCATTATTCGCTCATTATTCCCATGATTGCAAAAATCATAATAACCGGACAGAATTTAAATTGTTTCTTATTTGCCTTATTCTGTCCCCTCTCCGCATTCTTCTTCAGTCACGGCACATTTTTATCTATTACGTACTGCAAAAAGACTCAAAGATCACGTTTGAATATTACAAATAAAAGAAAAAGCTACGTCCATTACAGCGAACATCGATCACTAGTGGATTAATTACCGGACTTAATCGCCCGACGTAATTGGTTCTGCCTTACATTGTATCGTACAGCTCGCACGCTATAAGACAGTCTTCTCGGCTCCGTCGCGATTCGTCACGGTATTTTACACGCGATCCGTCTCGCGCCGGTAAAAAAAAAGAAAAGTCGCGCGGACCACTCGCGACTCGAAGGAGAAAGGGCGAAAAAGGGCGGGGGAACGAAAAGAAAAAGGGAGCGATTGCCGATTACGCAAGCAGTTTTCTCTTGGCGTCACAACGTCGCGTCGGGACGGGAAAGCCGCGAATCTCTAATCTCGTAGTTAGAATTTTACGGCCGCGTCTGCATCACAATTACAGTTCGTTGAACCGAGAGAGCAAAGGGCGCGAGGAAGGAAAAGGGGCACGCCGGGATTTCCGTTGGTCTATTTAGCGCGCGGATAACGCCATTTTAAACAATGCGTCCGATTATCTAGATGAGATTCGACGGCAAAATGGGAACGATAATGGCTGATAACGCGGCCGACGCGCACCTTTGCTTTGTGTAGAAATCGTTTGCATACACTGGGCGTCCCGGTGGAAGGTTTCATCTCGAATGGCCTCTCCGCCTTCCCCGAGAAAGAGGTGCGACAAGTTTCCGTACAATTATATATCTGTGTAAAATACAATAATATTCGTGGAATATAGAACAGCGTTGCCTTCGAGACACAGAGAGGAACGTTTTTAAATAAATTTGAATATCTTTTCATGCACACTTTAAGTGCTTTGTCGAAGCAAAGTCGATATGCGTGATATTCCACAGAAATAAGAAACTTTTAATTTTAGTCTCAGAAAATTCATTTCGAATTTGTCAGAGAAAATCTGCCGAATTGGCTTGTTCGGTAGGTTCACGGGTTCACATTTTTCTGAAGATCGGCTCGATCTTTTTATGATTGGGCATAAATTTACGCGATGATCTTTCTTTTCGACGGTAGATCATCGCAAAATTAAAAAAATTATGCGTGACTGTGTCAACTTGGGGTTTTTAAACCGAAAGAAAGAAAGGAGGTGGTCAGTTTATCCTGTAATGAGAGAAAAATACCCGAGTCGAAATTTTGGCCTTATGTTAAACCTTGAATTCTACAACGCAATAAAAGCTAAGTTAGCAAAGTAGGTTTAATCAATTTATTTTTACTTTGATTCTGATTATATCCAAAATTTCTCTTTTCACTTTTTTTTTAAATAGATTGTATTATAAGTTTTAGAATATATCAAAATAGGTGTTGAATGGAATAGTGAGGCTGAAAGTAGGATCAAAATTTTGATTCTATAAAAAATAAAGAAAATATTTATTCGATGTATTTACTTAAAAATATAAAAATTTTTTCGGATATGATTGTAAATACATATTGAGATTGTTTCATACTTTCTAGAGTTTTTGAGGTCATAAAAATTCTTATGAACTTTTTTATCAATAACCCAATGTAAACGCGTGCTTAACAATGTAGTCGAACTTTTGCGTTTATTAGGCATCCATTGTTTCATTTCGAGTGTCAAACACTTGCGGGTTAATCGCCCGCGATTATTGCTGAGCATCCCGCGGGACGTACGTACGGCGCGATGCAGCGCGATGCAGCGCGATGCAGCGCGATGCACGAGCACTCGCGCGAACACGCGCACTCGTGACGGAGGGATGCGGCGGCGCCTCTGCTCCCTCCTTCTCTCCTGTGATCCACCACCACCCCGCGGACCTATATATTTCCCGGAGGGTCTCCCACTTTCGCCACTATCGTTCCTGTCGCGGCGGCGTTCGCGCGCGTGCACACGCTCGACCGTTCGTCAAGTTCACGAAAAGTCCAGAGTTCATGTGCGACTTCTCACACGCGTGTAACGCATGTACGCTAACCCTTGGCATCGTACACCCCGCACGAATACGTCACACAGTGGTGCGATTGCTTTCTTTCCTTCTCGTCGCGCGTATTTTGCCGAATAGTTTCGCCTTGTTTTCGTGTACCATCGAATTTTGAATCGACGACGCGCGTGCGGGACTGCGGTTTTTGCATGGGACATGTGTGCCACTTGGGACGAGCCGGAGGATCCACCTGCTGCTTTCACCGACAGGGATTAGGCGAGCAGTCACGACAGTGAGTAAATGAGATAGGAGGGCTCGCTCCAAAAGTGACCAAATATTGCAGTATTTTAATCCGATCGCGATACTTCCTGTGTTGTCATGTATTCTGAATTCAACCAGATCTTCATTTCTCATAGCATATTTAGCACTTGCACGAAAATTCTTAGATTGAGAAATAGGAAAGAATATCCAGCACTCACCGCAGTTTTCGACAATCTCGCTTGGATCCAATTAGATATCAGATTGTATGGGGATTATTAATTATTTATTCATTATTTACCACAGTTATTATTTGTGTCTCTATTCGTTTTCTTTTAAATCCCTATAGTACACTTTAATATCCGACAACATTCATGCAAGAGTGTCGACTACTGGACGTTTTTCCCCATACAAGTGGCAGATTTTAAGGATCGTGTAAGCGATTGCGTATCAAGTAACGCTTTCAGTAATGATATATACTATGAACACCACAAAATGATATCGTTTGTATTTGCGAGTGGAAAGAATTTGCGAGTCGTCCCGTAAAGGTGAGGCTTACGGAAAAAGTTACATATTGAGCGTTATATCGACACCCATATTTTATAAAGCTTGCGT